CCTCTCAGCCAGTCCCGGAAGCACATCCCAGTAACTCTGCAGCCAGGTGGGGACCAAGCCCCTGCCTGGCCCTCGTGGAAAAGCCAAATCTTGCTGTTCGCTTGACAAAACCCAGGGGCCGAAGCGGGGGGCCCCTCCAGACCACCATATCGCTGGCCTCCCAAAAGGGCTGGGAGCTGTGATGGGAGAACAGGCGTGGAGCGAGAAAAGACCAAGATGCACAGGGAGAGGAGCAAAGCAGCCGTCCCAGGCTGCGAGACATCAACAGGCCCCGGATGAAAAAGTTTTGGTACCTTCTGTGATGGCAATCCTGGCGGGGACAGCTAATCCAGAGAGCAGCGAGGGGAGACGGAGCGCACCCTGCCCGGCCGCTAGCCACTGCTCATGGGCCTGGGGAGCCTGGTGCCTATGGGCAAGCCTTGCCCTTGTCTCCTCTTTTATAGTGCAGGCGGTGTAACGCGATCTGGCGGCCCGAGGGGAATTCCAGCCCGAAACGTTCATGCTCCCAGATCCAGGTGATTTGCATAATATGAACCACCAGGTCCCAGCCCAGCACTGCCTTGCCGGGAAATCTGGGTTGGCCAGTTTAATCATTGTCAGAGCCCTTGCCCTGCCGGTGCCCAGAGTTTCACCCACACCGGCTTTGCGGGGTGTTTTCTTCGCTGCCGTTTGCCCAGCTCCTGTTTGTTTGCTCACAGCAGCAGGTTCACTCGGCTCCCGCTGCCAAGCAAACACACCCAGCAGGGCCAGAGCTGGCCCCGGGGGCTGTGCATCCCTCCCTGGGTCTCTGCCTGCGGCAAAGGTGCCAGAAATGCTGCCCCAGGCACCCACTCGCTGTGTGGCATCCCCCTGCTCGGGAGAGCAGCCCAGCATGCGTATCGAGTGTGCCTTCACCATGTTTGAGCACAGGCTGGGTTGCTCACAGGTCTGGCACAGGCACAGCTTCTCCCAAAGAGGGAGAAGGGACCCAGCCGGGCAGATGCTGGGAGCAGGACTCGGGGGGGATGAGTGGTCTACATGGTGATGGAGCAGAGACAAGCAGGTGCCCAAGTATTGTTGCTCTCTCTGTTAGGATGGGTCGATTTCTGCCTGAGGGGAGGCCTGGGACAGGCTGCAGAGCTGTGACGGCTCATTCCCTGCCATTTCACAAGCACCCGGCATGGGCACACACGTACACTCACCAGGAACACATGCCAAGGGGCAAGGCAGGGTTGCGGGATGCATCTGGAGAATTGCCTTCTGGTGACTCGTGCCCCTCTGGCTCCTTGGCAGGGGTATTTGGGACCCTCTCTGGATATGTTGATGCTGGTTTTAGCCCTCTGCTAGTGGATGAGTCTCAGGCCAGTCCAAGCCAACAACTTGGCACCCATTTGCCCGGTGCTGGTACTTGCCAAGCCAGCCACTTCCATGACACACATGGGCTGGAGCAAACCCAGGGCACTGTGTGAGTGGAGCAGACCCTGGCATCACACAGCCATCTCTAGGTCCTTGTCACTTCAAACCAGTGCCTGGCAGCAAACCATCTCGTGTGACAAGGTGGCGACAGACTGTTGCAAACATGGGTGCTCCACCTGGGCCCATGGGCCAGCAAGGGCAGGATGGCTGTGTGCCCCATCCCCCTTGTCACGTCACCCTGGCCTGCCATGCCGTGCTGTGGCCCCGGGGCAGGCAGGGCCAGCGTGCCAACCAGGAGGCACCAGGTCACGCTAGCTGATCACCCGCCCCAGCTTCATTCCTTCGCGGCACAGTCATGAGTGCTGGGTGCTGCCAGGACCTTTTGTTTCTTGGGCACAGCATCCCACAGCACACAGGGATGTCCCCATGCCCAGGAGCAGCCCCTGCCATTTCTGCCTGGGGCAAGACAAGACCACCGAGGAGACACTGGTGCTGAGTCTTAAGTCTGCGCTCAGCCTGGAGCTGAGCCCGGGGCTCGCCCTGTGCCCAGAAAGCTGGCCACCTTGGCTGAACTTCCAGTGCTTGGAGTTAGAAACCTGCCCCTGGGGAAGATTTTTCCACCCACTGCCGAAACGCAGGTGTCTCTGGAGCAGAGTGAGACGTGACAGCGCTGCACCATGGCCAAGAGATGATGGGCAGGGCATGTAGCATTGGAGAGTCTCCTGCCCAACCCGCCCCTGGCTCTCCCCCATCCCAGGTGATCTGGTCAGATGCCCGAAGGGGCTCTCTGGCATGGACGATGTTGAGCACCCCCTTTCCCAGAGTGCCCTTCTTCACAGACCCACAGCAGATCCCAAGGAAGTGCCACGGTCACTCCATGCACCCATGGGAGAGGTGCCCCCAGCGGGTGACACTCCCCAGACCCTTACACATGCCTGACATGCCAGGAGCCCTCTGGGTCCTCCTGGGGCCCATCCTGACCCCTTCCTTCCCCTTGTGCTTGGGAGCCAGGAGACCAGCAGACCTGAGCAATTCTCCCAACACCCTGCAGGCACCCGCTGGCTTTACTGACATGGAGAAATGGCCTTCCTGCCCATCTGCCCAACCAATGTGCCACAACCCAGGCCCTATAATCGGCCGTTTGGAGAAGATCACAGCAAGGGACGGACACTCCCTGGAGATGCTGAGACACTGTGCCGGGAGCGTGGGTGAGCGTAAGCCTCTCCTGGGCTGTCCCCATGCCCTCCCCAGAGACACAGGGCAGCAGCAAGCTGCTGGATGGTGCCCATGGGCCCCTCCACTGCTGAGGAGCAGCCGCAGCACCGATGGGCTCAGGGCAACTCCTCCTTGAGCCCAGGGACGGGTGGCAGAGGGCTGTCACGATCTCATCGCCAGAGCTGGTGGCTGCCAGCCATGTGTCCCAGCTGTACCCTTGTTGCTCGTCTGAGCTCTGTGGCATCTTCAGGCAAATGGCCAACATGGCACAGGGTGCTGCTAGCCCAGGCTTGGCATCTTGCTGCAGCAAGAAGAGGTGGTCATGAGTTCGGAGTGAGTTGGTGACACAAGGGCCAGCAAGAAAAGGTGCCTGTGGTGCAGCAAGTGGCTGGGACACCAGATGGGAGAGATATCCCCTGTCCTGCCAGGAGTAATTGGCCCCCATCGTATCCCCACATTTGCTGCCCCACAGATCCCATTTACCCCGGCAGCTCTGCGGTGTGGCTGTGGGCATTAAGATAAGCCATGACACGGGCTGAGGGTGACACAGGACACGGTGCTGGGGACTGGTATAGCTCTGGGCACCGCCAGCCCGTCAGATACTGTTAGGGCCAGACTGGCACGGCTCTGGGGACGAGCACTGCATTGTTTGTTTAGAGCTCAGCGCTGGGGGTCCCCAGCTCTCACCCCGCAGCAGAAGCAGGGTGGGGGGTGCCCCACGCGGGTAGCGGGGTCCATGCCAGGAGGAACCGCATCCGGGGTGGTCAGTGCAGCCGCACCCCACGGCTGGTGGCTCCTGCTCAGCTGCTCCGTCCAACCAGTTTAACCAGTGCTGGATGGATGGGAAAGAGAAAGTGGAGGTTACTGGGGCTGAGGCCATGTCCTGTAGAGTTGGGGGTACAGCT